AAAAAAAAATACAAGGTACATCAATGAACCAGCTCTACCGGAAAATGAATTTCCTCACTTTACTATAAAACTTCTATAACATGTTTAATATTTTTAAACATAATTAACATAATACAACATAAAAGATTCTTAATATAAACCTACTAAACAAAAAAAACTAATATACAAAAGTTTATACAAGGATAAACCCTTAAAATTTTCCATAATTTAAAATATAAGCTCACTTCATACAACTCCTAAATTAATACATTTAATTTATTCTCATCTTATCAAAATGTGTTACCAATTTTTGGTTTTAAAATAGAATTATTTTTATAGGGTATATATTCTTTTTGTGTGTGTGTGTGTGAGGAAGATCAGCCCTGGGCTAACATCCATGCTAATTCCTCCAGAGGAAGACCGGATCTGAGCTAACGTCTATTGCCAATCCTCCTCCTTTTTCCGCCCCCCCCTCCCCCAAAGCCCCGGTAGATAGTTGTACGTCATAGTTGCACATCCTTCTAGTTGCTGTATGTGGGATGCAGCCTCAGCATGGCCAGAGAAGCGGTGTGTTGGTGCACGCCCAGGATCCGAACCTGGGCCGCCAGCAGCGGAGCTCGGGCATTTAACCACTAAGCCACGGGGCCAGCCCCTAGGGTATATATTCTTTATGTTAACATATAATAGGTTTATTATTTTTCAAATGGATTAATAATTTTTTTATTTCTAAGTTTTATACTCTAAACAATAAACATTAATAAATATAACCCACATAAACAAATGCTGTTTAAAGTCTTCAATAATTAAGAGTACAAAGGGATCTTGAGACCTAAAAGCTTAAAAACCTATGACATAAATGTTTTCAGTGTTGTTTAAATATGTTCACCAAGCAACTACGAGCTATATGCTCAAGCTCAGTTTTCCTTTGAACAATAATCGTCACACAGTGGAGTTAATCCACTATGAAGGCTATCCGTATATGCCCACAAGAGGAAGACACTGCAACCTTCAACAGAAACATTCTTTTAAAATTGCCAGGTATATCATGAATAATGTATCCATAGGAAAAGAAGAGCTCTAAGGTGTTGTCCCTCTTATGCAGATAATTGCTTCCTGAACCAATAACAAAGAAAAACTAATATGTGCCAGCAAACATTTCTAATAAATAGGCTACCTCCCACCGAATCAAGATACGCAATCTCACTCAATGCAAGTCGTCAGAAGTCAAGCTGAAAAGAGCCTTAGGAAAATCTTAACGATTGTGTATGATTTTTTAAATGTTCTAAGTTTTTTCTCAACATTCTCAAATACAGTGAATTCAAATACTATCAAAACAAAATTAATTTAAATTAGGCTCATAGAATTATTATGACATTTGAGAACTCTGTGAAAACATCTCAATTATCCAAGAATACAATCAGTCTCAAAATTTTCTAACTCTAAACCTACAATAGTAATAATCCATAACACAGATATGGGCAGATAATAATTAGAGCAAAAATATTTATGTGATTGTTCATTCTTTTACAAAGATGAACCAATACTTATTTTTTTAATACAGTACCACTGTAGCATTTTTAACCAATTTTGGCCTTTCTGCATATGGTTATTTAAAATGTTATCAGACTATTTCATTTTTATTTGATTAAGTACAAATTTCCAAGTTAAGTTTTATAAATTTTGTTATTTCTATTGTCTTTTATGAACTTGAGTAAACTTAAAATAGTAATAAGTGAGATGTAGAGACATACTTACATCATACTCTGTAAATCTGCTGCAAAGCTTATAGACTTCCCTGTACTTCTTCCACTACTTGAAGTGGTAGTAGACATTGGGCTGGCTGCAGTATTATTCATCTAAATAAAAAAGAGAAATAAAAAGAAATGTACTTAGCTATAAATAAACGCATGGAAAACAGAAGCAATTATAAATTACTTCAAAAAGTATAGAAAATTTTAAATTTCTGATTTGTTTTATGTAAATCTGATTTGTTCGTACTTAATGTTCTCTATTAAAATGAAATAGTAAGGTGGAAAAAAACTGCTTAATCAAGTACATTATCAAAAAATTACTCACTTAAGTGATAAACACTTCAGTACATATTTTGTAATAAGTAACAGAAGAAAAATACTCACTAGAGTATTTTAATAGAGCTCAGTGGTGTTCAAAATGCGTTCCAGGGAGCCCTAAGGTTCACCAGCAATATTTCAGGGAGCTCCCACTGGCCCCCAAGCATACATCCTCCTGCCCAGTTCCATCCAGAAAACCAGAACAACAATGATTTTTCTTTTATATACCAGGGTTTCAAGTAAGATTTCTTTTAAAAAAAAGAGCTGCACAGTTGTAAGATACAAAATTAGAAAACCACAGCATAATCTAATTCCCATTTGAACCAAAGCCTAAAATATAAATAATACAAATCAAGTCAATCAGTAGAAAAGAAGTAAGCATTGTGATATTTTATAATCTTATTGCTAAGTAACTCATCAATTTAAAATGTGACTTTTTTCCCAATAAAATTAAGCTGATGCATTATGGGAAAACTAGATGCCAATCCTAATATATGCCATTTTATTTAATGCATGTGGCAGTCTGGTAAACAAGAATTAGTGAAAATAACATTAAAATAAAATAATGAAAGTAGAAAAAAGCCTCAACTATTACACAATAAGTGCTCAATAAAAGTTAGCTATTATTTTATGTTTACATAAACTTTACCACACTGTAATTTTTCTTAACATAAAAATACCATGCAGATTCTAAAGAAGAATTAACAAATTTAGAACATACAATAAAATAAAGCAGTACTGAGAACTCTGAGTAAACTAATTAGGAGGAGTCAGATTGCCTAGGTTTGAATCCCAGCTCTGCTACTTTACTAGGACCTTGGGCAAATTACTTAATTTCTTTGTGCTTCAGTTTCCTCATCTGCAAAATGGGAATGATAATCCCACCCTCTTAGGGTTGTTGTGAGGGTGACATGAACTAACATGCACAAAGCATTCAAAACAGTTCTGAGCACACAGTAAGCACACAATGTTAGCTATTATTATTATAAACAGAAAGACCTTAAGAATTCTCCCTTTCTTGATCTGCTAAAGGCTTTTATGAAAAATTTAGACTACCCTTACTTCACAATCACAAAAGTTTAAGAAACTTGAATATTTTCACTAAAAGACCTCAATACAATTCAACAAATATTAAGTAGTTTCCTTATAAAATAAGTGCTGTTTTACTACTGGCATCTCCACTGCTACTAGTCACCCTAGCTCAAAATCTCAGTCGCTACCTTGGACTCCTTCTCCTGCACCCCATAATTTGCAAGAAGCCAAATAAATTCTACTTTATGTTCTTACATCCTCCCCGCCTCTTGTTCTCCGCATTGCTGCCAAATTTATCTTCTTAATACAGCTCTAATCTGACCACTCCTGTGGGTAATGAAGGCTAAAATTGATAAAGGAAACCTGAGCCAGGGTCATTCACCAAGAGCTGAGATGGAAGGCTGGGCCCCATGAAAGAAGGCTGAAAAAAAACTACTACAAACCACTGAATGAGACAGGCCATATATGCAGCTTTTGAGAAGTTTCTCTCTTGAAAAGACAGAGATCGAAGACAAGCAGCACGCTGGTTGGGTGGCTAGATCTGGAATATCCCAATATCCTTCTGTGACAAGACCAACTATCTGCCAACATAAGCCCTTGTCTAGTCTGAGGGCCCAAAGTGCCAGGCCAAAACCACTAGATAGAAAATGCAGGAGCAGAGGAAGAGAAGGAAAAAAGTCTCACTCAAATTGAGCATGAAAACCAAAATTCTTAAACACATAAGGAAGCTAATGCTATGAAAGACCATCACTTTTTTGAGGCCTAAATTTGTCCTATTTTTTCACAAAGACTTTTGAAACAAGTACTTCTGTCTACAAATAATATAGGAAAAGAAGCATCACCATTTAGAACTCTGGCTAAAAAAAAAAAAAAAAGTCACATCGCCAGTCCAAGATTCGGGCAAAATAGACAGGAAACCAAAGACTTCCAGGAACAGTCCTGCAGAATCAGGACAAAGTGATAAAAAAGACACCTGGCTTTCTCAAGAACCTTAGAAAATGGTTCCCTTGTTGTCCCAACACATCAATGACATCCTGGAGAAAATGTTGAACTCAAAGATGAGGTATTAAACCCAGCCTCCAAAAACAGTTATGATTTAAATGGACTCATGTCAGATTTGAAGATATGCCTTTCTCTGGGATTATCTTGTAGCCAAATGTCCTGAGACAACGCTGGAGCAATCTGCCCCTTTTTCATATTTAAATCCAGTCACCCTACTTTAATGTTCTCTGAATAGGAGACATTTCAGAAAGTAAATTCATATTAAAACCACAGCTTTCTTCGGTTGTCCTCCTACTGCAAATGTTTCACATCAAGAGTATTTATTGGTAAGAGGTAAAAGGTCCCAATCCTAGTTTATTATAACCACGATCATCCTTTCACAGTCAAGTTACTCAATTTTTAAATCAAACAGGTGAATAACATTTTTCTTGACATGATGAGCTGATAGCTCATTAGAATCTTTAAAATAATTATTTCCCGTAACCAAATTTTGTTTGATGATTTAGATAATTAACTTCTTTAGACATTAACTTCTTTACACATCAAAGTCCTATCATTCCAATGCTTTATTTCCTTTCTCCCAGACATTTAAAAAAAAAATGTCGGTTAAAAGCAGGAGCACTCAAGTCAATTTTCTCTAATAAATACAGTTAACATGGGACTGAAAACCTACTGTAATCTTCTCAATGGGTTAATGTCCTGCAGTTGTTTTAGCTTTCAATTGAAATGCAGCTGTTTGCCATATTTTACAAAATGAATTCAGATGTGCAGATGGAGACCTAGATTATTTCAACATGCCACAGTTTAAATGTGAACTCAAGGAGTAAGTTCATCTCTGATTAATACTTATATTTAAATCTGATCATTAAGCCAATAGCCGATACTGTGTCACACCTGTAAAACCCTGTTCCAGAGAAGAAAAACTGACATCTTTTAATTTAAAATAGTGGGATTTAAGGATACACCCCTTTCCTCAAAAATACTGCAACAACAAAAAATTTTTAACTGTAGTAAAGTTATACATCACAAATGTGAATTAAAAATGTAATGAACATGTTACTGGGTTTTTACTTATTGTTACTGGGTTTCTACTTATAGCTCATATTTTTGGTGACTAAATGACCAAAGAAGAAATACCATGAAAAATCATTAGCTTAAAATACCTCAAAGAGTTGAAAACTTTATTACTATTTACAGCACCCCCAAAACAACATCAAAATTTGGATTGTGAAATCCATCTGTCTACTCATTTATTAAAAAATAGTGGAATTTTTTTTTACTATTTCTTCTATTATATCACTGCTGAGAAAAATTAATTCAAATAGACCTATGTACTGATTCTGAGCATCTACAGAGTCTCAATTCCAATTATTCATAACCTGAACATCACACATGATATAAACAGAAAACTGTTATAATCAGAACATTTTCATTTTCATAGAACTCCAAAGGCAGGAAGCAATTATGGTTAAGCCAACACTATTATACACTGCATTTTAGTTTTGTTGTAATAAAAAAAAAAACTCAAGTTATATCACAATCTAAATTTCTCCTGCTGTGAAAAATAATATGAAATGATCATTCAATCACTGAGAATGCAAAAAATAAAAAATTAAAATGTACAAAATTTTAAAACTTCTATACCAAGTATTTGGGATGACACAATGGTAATTCTAATATATTTATATATGCCCCATTTCAAGTGGATTTTGGAAGGTATAAAACTCAAGTGTCCATTCAATTATCTGCTAAAACTGAAGTAACATGAATAATCCAAAGAACAGATGATTCACATATAATTTATAACTGTTTTGAAACCAATAGCAATTTTTCTGAAACTGCTAATTGTATTTTCTTCACTAATTAAAAAATCATTTGTATTCACTTACCATACACCAAATGAGTTCAGAACTGGAAATGAGATTTATCTATCATAGCACTTCTCACACTGTAGTGTAACCATTTCCTCATCTTCAAACTGCTAACTGCTTAAGGACAGGGCACTGTTGTATCCATAATTTTGATACCTAATATACTGCCTGACATGGCTGACGCTCAGTACATGTTGGGTGAATAAACAAATGACTGAATGGTATAACAAAGAATATAAAGATAAGACAGTCACATCCCTGCCATTTAGGAGCTTACAGCCTTCTGAAGTTAACAGATATACCCAATGGAATGAGTTTAGAGATAATGCAGAAGATACTACACGACAGGAGGAGGAACATCAGACCCACTCAATTATTATGGGAAAATTGTACTGAGATTTAACACATTTTACAATCTGAAAATACATCATATTTAACTGCAGTTTAAATAGAAAAAACAGATAAATGAATAGCAAGTCCAAATTACCCATCTCTCACTGGATTACTGTTAAATGAAGTAGGTGCAGAAGTGAAAGTATTTTGAAAATTATGAAGCACCATAAAGGGCAATATATGATCTAAGGAAATATTCTGCCTCACCATTCATTGAGCAATTATTTTTCCTAAAAACTACTAGAACAGGAATAAGTCCTTCCTAACCAAAATCAGTTTGATTCTAATTACTATGGATAAGAAGCTATAAATATTCATAAGGAACACCTAATGATCAAAATGACAAGAGAACCACCATGTTAATATGATTACCAAAGACTTCATATTCATAGATAGAAAAACTCTTCTCTGTAATATATTATACTATTTCCTGGTATATTTTCCCACCAAATCTGCTTCCCTGTCCACCATTCCCAGTTCTATAAGAGCAACACTACTCTTCAGTCACATAAAGTCAAAAACTCCAAGGCATTTTTGATTCTCCAGTCCCTTCCCTGTCTATATCCAGGCACTCTGGTCCTGGCACTTTTTCTCTTTAAAAAGCAATTCTAAATCAGTCCCTTCCTTTCCAATCTCACCTTAATCAACATCCTTACTACAGTATCTCTTACACCCATCTCCCAGCTTTCTAAATAATTCTGCATATTACCTCCAGCGTGCTCATTCTAAATATTTGTTACTCCTCTCCTCAGAAGCCTCCAACAGCTCTCCTTTGCCTGGAGGACAAAACTTGTCTAACATCAGTCCCACGGGACCTCTCCAGCCTCCTTTCCTGCAGCAGTCAAATCAAACATTCAGTATCTCCCGAACCCCCCCCAGGTTCTTCTGAATCTTTACCCTACAGTTCTCCCCATCTTGCAGTACCTTTTGTTTCTCTCCGCCTATCCAAACCAGTGGTCTAGAAAAGCCTGACCCAAGCTCAGGACCTCCAAAAACCCCTCCCAGACACCCACCCATCAGGAAGTCTCCTTTCTCTGACATCTAATTGTTTTAGTTTACTAATCCTTTTAGTTTAACATTATATATTTAGTGCACACTAATTATTTTAGTTTATTAATAAACCTCTGCCCTGTAATCTCTCCCCCAACTACTGGCAGACGACTGCACCTCCTCCTTCACAGAGAAATAAAAGGCCTTTCTTTAGTAACTCCCTCCACTCTCCTCTACCAAAGCCACTGCATCTTCTCGACTCCCTCTTCTTACAATCAAGGCACCCTCTTGTTTAAAGCCAATGCACCACCTGTGCTTTGGTTTACCCATTTGTAACTATTTATTGGGCACCTACTACAGGCCAAACACTGGGGTAAGAGCTGGGATACAGTAGTGACCAAGCTAGACAAAAAGAAACACATTCTGATGCAGGAGACAAGCACATAAATATAATGTGAGGTAGTGACAAACGCTTCGAAAACCAATTTAACAAGCTGATTTCAACTAGAAGGTGACATTTAATATAGATCTGAACAAAGCCCAGGAGGGGGCTCTGAAGAACTCCAGGCAAAAAGAACACCCAAGTACCAAGATCCTGAGGCCAGTGTGGCTGGAGTGAGGAGAACAAAGGGGATAAGCAGTAGAAAATAAGATATGAGAGTAAGCAAGAGGTGAGATGACATAAAGCCCTGTTGGCCACAGGAGGTTCAATTTTAGTGAGTATAATGTGAAGCTATTACAGAATTGTGAAAAGGGAGGTGACTTGAAATGGTTTAGGTTTTAAGAAGATAATTCCAGCTGCTGTGAGAATATACCATAAAGAAGCAAAGGTACAAGCAAGGAGACCAGTTAGCAAGTTACTGAAGTTGTATAGATGAGATGACAGGGGCTTGAATTAGTGTAACAAGTGGAGATGGTGGGAAGTGGTCAGATTCCTGGAACATATTTTGAAGGCAGAGCTGACCTGCTGATGGATTAGACACGGGATATGAGAGAAGAGCAGTCAAGGATGACTCTGAAGTTTGGGGCCTGAGCAACTGGTTGAATGGTGGCACCATTTACTGAGATCAGGAAGACTGGAAAGGAAAAAACAGGAGTTCAGTTTGGGTCACGTTAAGTTTGAGACAACTATCAGACATTCGAGTGGAAATGAAATCCTGCAGAAGCTTTGTGACAGATGTCGTAAAGCAGGAAATTGAAATAAAAGTCATGGTCATAGGGTTTTTGTTAAGAAGGATAATTAATCAATATAGTAGAACTGGGTAATAAGGATCAGCTAATCTCCAAAGTTCAGTTTCTCCATCTGTCAAGAACAATTTCTGCCTGTCTCAGAAGGGTGTTATAAAGACAGAGGCTACCACATGAGGGCCACTCAAAAAATATATTTGAATTGAAAAGAATATCAAAACACCCAGCAACTATGAAATTCCCATTAGATAGACAGACAGATATAAACAGTGTGTTTACATTTCCTCGTTGGCTACATGAGCAATTATTTTTTTAACCTACAGACATAGGAACCCAGTGACAGACTGCTCAGAAACACACCAAGTTCTATTACTATATTTTTCTTCTTTAGTCTCATATTAACGTAGGTTTCTATTTCACGTGCTTTCATATCCAGTACTCTCCTACAGAAAGAGAGTTTCAAACAAAATTTTTATTCTTTGCAAAAATGGTTCTTCAAGTGCACTGCAAATGTGCCTACCAGATCATCCTAAAATACTTAACATCCAAACCCCAACAAAATGACAACCTTACTTCTCCAATACTGAAGCACTGCTGTTTTTACATGAAATACTACATAACTGAGTGACTTAATGGTTAACTTTTCAGATATGTGCAAAGTTTTGGAATCACTTATACTTCTAATAGTAAGAGGTAAGTGTATTTGACAAGGATATCAAAAAAGGAGCAGACTTCTTAAACATCAAGATCCTCTTCCAGTCTAGATTCACATTTTAGAAACATTAAACCTTATGATAACTCTATATTAAATATAAACAATTCAATAAAAATATCTGATGTGGTTAAAAACATAGTTCATGTGACTAAAAGGAATGGGAAATTTACTGTAAACATATAAAAAATAGGTGAATTTGTATAAGCATTTCAGAGTTTATAAAGGGTTTTTCATCTTATTAGCTCACATTTTTTTGAAAATCACCCTACAAGGCAAGCACTTCCCCCCACCAATGAGGAAGCTGAAAGTAAAAATACTAGGTGAAGGTCACAAATCTAACAAAAAACAGGGTTGATCCCAAGTAGCTGATAACCTGAAATATTCAGTCAATCTACATACATATTTTAACAAAAATTCACCAATCTTCTCCCATTTTAGTACCTTAGTTTTTTCATCTGTAAAAGATGCCTATCTCCTTTAACACACTAAAATAACATGGAATTACGGAGAAGTTGTACACGTAGTAGTCAGGAGACTTGTCATTAAGTTATCTTAGAGACTGATGACTTTATAAGTTATGTTCAGGAATTCTTTGCTGAAAAGTAAATTTTAGGCAGATGGATCAACAACTACAACAGACAAAAGTATATCTATGCAAATTGGTGGGAGAGGGACCAAAGACATCTGAGGTTCAGAACTACAGTTTGAAAATCACTAATTTCATCCAAATCCCTCATTTTTCAGGTGAGGAAACTGAAGTCCAGAGGGGTTTCTTGAACTGCCCAAGGACATATCACTATTTAGTGATACGGCTGGGACTAAAACTGAGGTCCCCTGACTCCCGGTCCAGAGTTTTTCTACTATCCCTCAAGGAACATAAAATAAAAATTGATCATAATTAACTCACACGACCTCCACACCGTGTCTGTCACAGTGAACTTTGGTGTGAAATATCTGCCTATGCCAACTCACAGGTTAGCAGTAAAAGAGCTGGGGTCTGGAAGTCAAATACAGGCTCTAACCCCATGTGACCTTGGGCAAGTCACATCACCTCCCCGTCTCAGTTCCCTCATCTTAAAATGGAGATTAAAAATACTCGCCTCCTAAGTTACATGAAGTAATGTACATAAAGCATGTAGGACAGTGCCTGATACACGGAAAGCACTCAATTCATGATAATGATAATGATGGAAGATGAAGAAGAATCCAAGCAAAAGTATTGCTTCTTGAAAATGTATCACAAAGTATTATCAGTAAACATGTATATTCTCAGAGAAAGAATGTTATGATTAGGAGTAGTCTTTTAAAGATCCAAAAACAAATAATATGAATAAAGTAAAACATACAGGATTCAGTCATAAAACCTCAACAGCATTTAAAATAGCAAAAGTACATGTCAAGATTTTAAAATATTTATATTTGTATAGTATTTTACAACTTATAAAGTGCCCTCACATAAATTATTTCAATTTACTGTCCTATGAATTCAATGAACACAGCATTTTTGCAGCAAAAAAGACTACATACTATGCACACCAGATAGCATGCTATTTTCATATTCATTACCTTATTTAACCTCAATATCCATTAACTATCAGCCAGATATTAGCAGAGGCAGTAGTATAAAGCAAAAAACTGACAGATCTGTTCCAGAAAGTAAAAGCCTCATCAGTATACCTATTAAGTGGGAAAGACATGTTTGGATAAATAATGAGGTACAGCACTTAGGACAACGGAAGGAACACATCAAGTGCCCATGAAAATGTCAGTTCTCCCCCAGCAGTAGTATGGAGTTGTTTTGTGTACAGAATACACGTAACCAGACCAATAAAGCACCATTGCTGTGACCTATTCGTCAAAGAAAACAATCTTGGTTAATGATGCCTATTATACTTTATGCTGTTTCACAAATTAAAATATACAACAATTTTTGCAGATTTAGGGTCAGTCTTTACTGAAAGTAATAGGTAGACAAAACTAATTAAATAATAAAATGTTTGTAAAACAAGACACGAATTGATATAATTCTCATCTGAGGCCTCCAAAAATCTTGGGAGGAGGTGGGAAGAGGTTATGTACTAATTCCATTTTACCGATGAGGAAACTGAGGCTCAGAAAAGTTAAATACCTTAACTGAAATCACAAAGAGAGAATATGGCAGAAAAGGGCTAAACCTAGAGTTTCGGAATTAGTTTTAAGTGCTCTTTGCACCTACCCACAATGCATCTCAGAACATTAATATCTCTTCCAGATCCATTATTCAATAACCTTAAGTCTCAGCCACTAATAATATTCATTGAGTACTTCTTATGTGATTCGATGCACCCAACACCGCACCTAACACATCACATGGGTTACCTGATTTAACCCTTAGCAAAGCAAAGATTCAAACCAAGTGTGTTTGACTCTCAATAAAATATTTTATCCATTACAGTATAAATTCAATTAATACAATAATGCATTTGGCTGAATTATTTTTCTATACTATTGAAGTGATCTATAAGCAAAATCCTTCCTTAACATTCTAATACTTAATAAGCAGATTTCTGACTGATTTCACTATTCGACCTCACCATAAAACGACTATTATTTTCAACAAGAATAGTGAATCTTCTGATTTGATTGACATGGCCTTTCTTTGCAGCCTTCCACAGTGACAGATCATTTTTTTAGAGAGAACCAAAAATCAGGCTGTCCAAGCTTTCTACCCAGTTATAAGGAGAAAAGAAAAATTTCTGAATTACCAATGCCTTAAAACGACAGGTCACTTGCTTGCCTCATTCCAGATAGCTCATCTATTATTTAAACACATAAGCAATAACTTTGTCACTACCTTAAAGCAAGTACATTTGAGACTGCAATATAGTTAATCCTACTAAAATTATATATTACAAATATCAACAACCCTAAAAATACGGTAACCATATTATTATGTGGTCCCAACTGAGACATTTTTACAGTGAAGGGGTTCTATTAATAATTAGAGCTGGGACAAACAGGCTCTAGACCATGACGGTCCCAGAAAAAGTGGGGTATACAGTTACCCTACATAAGAGCAACCCATTTCGACTTGTACATTATGAGCTATTCTCTGCATATACTTAATTCATGAGCTTTAAGTTTTTGTTTTAGATCTAACGATTATCTTCAGTCTTGAAATCAAGGGCACCATTTTACAGACAGAGTTAAGGGTGCCATCTATAAATAAAGTTTTTTTTAAAGTTTCATTTTCAAACAACTTTATAAACATTTGCTTGAAAAAGAAAAAACAGATTTACACATTTCACAGAAAGTAATCGTGCAAAATATCACCAAATTTCAGACTTATCTCTTTAAAAGTTTTGAATACCAATAACCACAAAACTACTTCTAAAATGTCCTGATGCTCAAAGGTTATTACTATAATTTATCAAATTGTTTTATTATGCAAAAAGTTAAAAAAAAAAAAAACACCTTTCAAATGGAAAAAATTTCAGGAATAAAACAATTGAAAAGTTTCACTGAAAAGTAACCAAAGTGATAAAAGATAGTGGAAACCCATGGTCACAATACAGTACAATGATTACAAGAACCTCCAGTTAGTATTGTTATTGCTCTCCAAATGAATCTGGCATTAGCTGTACAACCTAGGAGTCAATAAATGCTTTGCTCTAATATGTCAAGCTGTACTAACAGACCCATGCTTTGAACTACAGTATTTGAATGAGAGGCAATATTTGAATATAATTATGATTCCCTAAGGCTATAAATGTTCTGAGAGTTGGCTTCTCTGACTTGAAATTCAACCAAATCAAGAACGGGAAGGGGTCTCAAAGTCTAGATTCTACACCTATGCTATCCAATAAGGTAGCCACTAGCCACATGTGGTGATTTATACTTAAAATAAAATTAAAAATTAAGTTCCTCAGTGCAGTAGTCACATTTCGAGTGCTCAAGAGCCACTTGTGTCTAAGGGTAACATATTAGGACAGCACAGATTACAGAATATTTCCATCATGGCAGAAAGTTCTATTGGACAGTGCTGCTCTAGACCTGGGCTGCTCTAGATCTTTGCTTGAATATTCCCAGAAGCAAGAAACTTGCAATGGCACAATGAGGTGCATTCTGTCTTTTTAAAGTACTGTCAGGAACTTGTTCCTCACATTCAGTCAAATCCAGCCTGTCTGGAACATCCATCAGTGTTCCCTCCTCAGTTCGGTCTTCAAGTAAAGCTTTGCAGAGCTAACTTAATTCCACTTCCCAAGTTCTGCCCTTCACACATATTAAGGACCCTACTTTCTTTCGAAAGAAATGGTTTAAAATTTCTATCAGCCTCATGGAGTTATGCTCATTTATCCACGTGTACAATAACAACGTATGTCCAGGATCGACTGAGTGTCAGATATTACATTCCACTGTCCCTATAAATCCACTCTCGCTTGTCAGACCAAGCACCTTGATTTTTAATTTAGAAAACAAGGTCACAGTCATTCTGAATTTCTTAAAACATCGAGACTAAAATTAATTACAGTTAACACGTAACTGATCAGTGCCTGGCGCTGTTGTAATCATTTAACGTGTGCTACTTCACATAATCCTCACAATTCTGAGCTAGGCTATTACTATCCCCATTTTACAAACCAGAGCACCCAGCCAAAGACATGCTAAGTAATTTCCCCAGGGGTCACAGAGGTGGGCTCACCCCACAGAGAAGAGAGTGGATCTTGCCCTTTTTCTGGATGCTACGCTTCTACTAACGCTACTTAACTCTTCTTCCACCCTGCCCATAAAGCAACAATTTCCTGCCTTAAGGATTCTTCCTCCCAAAGCACTCCCTGGATGACACGCGGAAGGTGCTCCTAACACACCCCAGCCACGCCGGCTCTGCCCGCCGGCCCGGCTGCCCGCGCCCCACGCCCACCCGCCGACGGGGAGGAGCCAGGCGCCAAGGCCACACTCCGCGGGGGAGCCGGGGCGCCGCGCCGGGCCAGCGCCTCACACGACCGGCCGCCTCAGCTCTCCAGCGCCAACACCAATTATTCCCCCGCGGCCGTCCCCGGGCAGGGGCCAGGGCGGGGCCCGGAGGCGCGGGGCTCGCCGCGCGGCGTGCCTTCCCGTTCCCAGCCCTCTCCCCGCTGCCCCGCGCCGCCCTCCGCGCCCCCTACAACCTCTGCTTTAGGAACACTTGTAGGCACGGCTGCGCGTCCCGCGTGGAGAATGTGGGGGTGGAGATGGTGCGGTTTCTGCTCCTGCGGCCCGGGACACGCTTGGAAAGGGGCGGGGTGGGGGGCTGAGAGTTTCGAAAGAGAAAAGGTGGCTCGGGTGGGGCGGGGGGGGGGGGGGCGCAAGATGGCGTGAGCCCGATTCTGTGAGGCGGGGGTTGCGAAGACGAAGGAGGGAGCGCTACCGACGCCCCCACCACTGGCGGCGCGGGCGCTGGCGCTGGCGCTGGCGCATGCGCGCTCAGCCAGGTGGCGCGCGGTCTCCTTTCCCGAGCGAGCCACTTCCGCCACGCTCGCGGGGGGCGGGGCGTCGGGGTGCTCGCGGGCGGCCGCTGTCTCTGCCGCTGTGGTCCTCGGGCCGCGGGGCCCGGGGCGGGCAACCGTGAGCCGCGCGGCGTCCCTGAGGGCGGGGGCTGCTGGGAGAGGAGAGGGGATGAGCTGAGGACGGAGGCTGTTTTAGAAGTGGAGCTGAGAGGGCTAGGATTTTCGAGGGGTTGGTGACCGACACTGGAAGTTTGTTGTCAACTTCAGAGCACAAATCGGCCCATGGAATTGAGCCAGGAATTGGGGTGAACCAGCGTCTTAGCCGGACTGTGCTTTTAGAATGGTGAAGGGAAACGGGGAGATCAGAAAGACCCAGTCCCCCGAAGCACCGAAGGCCGGGGTGTGGACATGGAGCCCTTCCTGGGATCGTGAAACACCAGCCCTTCCGCGGGCTCCCGCACCCCAGCCCTCCCCACCCAGCCCCTGCACAGTCATTGGACATGCAGTAGGAAAATATGGTCTGCAATTTTCACCCCCCACCCCCGCCAACTCATTTTACGAAGCTCAGGCATTTAAAGACCACGTTTTTATTATTGAAATCTTTTTCTATTTCAAAGTCTTTTAGGGGTGATCTGGTATTTTTACTTAAGATGTTGGCCTCTTCCTCATTTGTAAATCTTGCACCCCCGCTATTGAATTGTACATCCTGTCCTCTCACATTTGAGTAATACAGATGTAGTTCTTTAAATTAATACAGTTGTAAGACAATGATTTCGGTTGCTTTCACTATATTATGTGAAGTCTTGTTATTAACATTCTTTTCAGCTGCTTGGGGAGGAAACCTGGTTTATCCATGCTTACATCCACTCCTACAATGTCAAATATAAAATATATCCTAGAGATTCAACTACTACCTTTCATCAGATCTTTTTAAGCATTACTGCTTCGGTAATTTTCTTGCGTATGAATATTTGTGTTCTGAAATAATCCCTTCCTTCCTCCTATTTGCTTACATTGTTTAAAATAGCAACTTATTTGGTTATTTCCTCAGTGGATTGTAGTTGAGTCTTCTGTTAATTTTGTGTTTAGTTCTCTTTAATCTCCCCAACACTTCATTCAATATTTGCCAAATCCTTTAAAGTTCCAAAAGATTAAATATATTTAGGATGTAAAAGCTCACCATAATGTGTAAATCAGGGCTCAGTTCAATGCTGGGCAAAGTGTAGAGTGTAAAGGAGAGTAACAATGAGAGAGAATTGTCATAATTTCTTACAAACGAAGACTGGTTTATACAATGGTTGAAAAGCCCTTTCAAGTACATTACCAAGAAAATAGGAGAAAATTAAGACAACAATTAATATTACATCTAAGGAAATACAACCCTTAGGAACCCTAAGGAAATATAACAGAAGCAGATCCTTTCAATTAAGACTATGTTCAATTAATGTTACCATAGTAGTTCTTGCATGGGAGTTTTACCTGCATCACATGGAGGCCAGATTTGACCTAGTTTTTCAGAATAGAACCCAGATCTTACTCTCAGGCTACTGGTGTCTAACCTACATATGATCACACACAATAAGAGTTAATGAAAGTGAGCCATGGAGAAAGGAAACGGAGTTAAGACTGGTAGAGGGAGCTCAGAAATTCACTCTTAGGAAATCGTGAATTGTGCTGTTGGCAGAGACCTTAACTTTGAAATCACATGAGTTATCCTAGTGTCCCTACCTCCTGGAATCTATTAAAATCCATTTTTAAAAATTTAATTTAGCTATAACTTTGTAGTTTGAGAGCGCTGCTGTACACAAAGGGTCAAAAATATTTTCCATTAGATTAATATCAAATATCCTAAACTATCAATGCTACTAGGGCATCTTAATTATAACAAAGCTAAAACAATGAAGCTGTTGCTGAAATTAAGACATTGATGACTATCACCTCTCTGAAAAAATACATGATTTCCAAAGCATGTGGAGAAAACACATCAGGAGACCAAGTGAATTCATCACACCACAAAAATGTCTCCATCCCTTGAACAAAACCGTTAAAGGAAAATGAAGCATTGTTACTGTAGACGTTTACATTCCTCTGGCATAATAACCTTCGTATAGACTCACCAGTGCAAAGAGAAAGTGTGTATATCTAAGTAAAAAGGCCTTGTGGCATCTTAAAAAAATGACTAGATTAGGTAATAAAAGAGGCCCTAATTCCCCCAAAGAATAGCAGAAGCCATGCCTAATATGGAATCATCTCTGTGATAAAGTGGGTTCTTCTCATGGGGATGCTATGGGGACAGTTCATTTCAGGTGACCTGCAAATTCTTACTCTTTTGTGATCCATGACTCTTATTTATTAGGATGCTTGTAGGGGCAATTTCTTTTCCTATTTATCAGTTGTTTTATCCTTTGCTATATTTGCCTTAGATTTCTAATGTGTATATAGTAACCATGGAAATAAACTGGATAGAACTGCATATTGTTTAGAATTGTATATTGCAATTGTTGCTATATTCAATTAATTTCCTGATATTTAGAATTATTTTTCAACTGCAAGCTCAAAGGTACCTTGCTTTATTTTTAGAACAAGTTGTTCCAACCAAAAAGATTACTCAGCTCTGTGGTACCTGGGCAAGTCACTTAACATCATTGGGCTTCAGTTTTCATATCTATAAAATGAGGTGATTAAAACAAATGAGCTAAAACCTTGCAGCCCTGATTCTATTCCTTTAAAATAGGAATGACTGAAAGATGGATCTTAAAGTTTTACAGAATAATTCCAGCATTCATATTTGTGCTACCAAAAATTACGTGAATATGCAGGGCTCTTGCTTTAGGCCAACTTGCATGTTCAACTGATATTATGCATTTCAAAAGAAAGACCGACATGAGAAAAATATATACTAATCAAATCCATTGATACACGGGAGGGGAATGCATCACAAAATTATTTGAAGTGTAATCAAATTGGCTTCCATAATTTCCAATTACATTTATATACTTCAAAGTAGGAAGAGCAACACAGTGATGAGAGAAGAAATGTTAAGAATTGCAGTATTGAGCAGCTTGTAGAACTGTAATGATCCACCCTATTAGGAACCTCTCATTGTAGTAGATCCTGGATTGTAGATCCAGGATCTTTTAAAATTAGTGCTTAGCTGCTGAGAAGATGATCATGCTTTTGAGATTCAGAATGGGAAAGCAATCATAGAATATCAGGGCTTCAAAGGACCAGTGAGCTCTCTAGACGCATGGAAACTTAGTTGCTCCCATTCCCATGGAATCCAATATATAATACCTCTTGTACTGGAAATAAACAACTTTTACATTCCCCCCACTTGAAGATAAGATCTATTTGCTGAATGTGAGTGATGGGTGCTAATTATTTCATTCATTCATCAAATATTTACTGTGGGCCTACCATGTGCCTGACACTATTCTAGTATCTATCTATACTACAGATATAGCAGTAAACAAAACAGACAAAATCCATGCCATCAAAACTCACATTCTAGTAGGAGGAGTTGGATAATAAACAAAATAAATACCTGAATTATATAATATGTTAGAAGGCCATGAGTGTTACAGGGAAAAAAATTATACAACAGGGAAGAGATATGGAATGAGACAGAGCACAGGAGGAACGGGAGAATGGTAATTTCTGAATCAGGCAAACAGGGTGGGCCTCACTGAGAAAGTGGCATTTGAATAATGATTTGGCAGAAGGTGAAGGACATAGCTGCAGATATCTAAAGAAAGAGCATTCTAGACAGTGAGAACAACCTATGCCAAGGCCCTGAAGTGGCAACAGGCCTGGTAAGTTGCAAGAATGGCCAGGAGGCAATTTTAGCTGAAGCAGAGTGACCCAGAAAGAAAATAGGATAATGTGAGGTCACAGAGGAACTAGGAGGCCAGATGGTGGAAGGCCTGTGTGCCTGAGACTGGGAGGCTATTAGCACAGGATTGATATGATGTGATTTAGGCTTTAAAATGATTACTCTGGCTGCTGGGTTGAAAATGGTTTGTAGAGTATTGGGTCTTATTGCAGTAACCCAGGCAAGAGATGATGGTAGCTTATACTAGAGTTATTATAGTAGATGCCATAAGACATGGTTGGATTCTGGGTATATTTTGAAAATAAATACAATTTCCTGAAAGATTGGATTTGGAGTTCTAGAGAAAGAGAGCAATCAAGGATGACTCTAAAGTTTTCTGAGAAACTGGAAAAATGAATTTGCCATCAACTGAGATGGGAAAGACTGGGGATGGAGTATGTTGGTTGGGTGTAAGAGACCAAGAATTCAGTTTTAGGTATAAATAAATAATTAAGTACAGTGTTTGTATTATCTTTAATGTTTTTGACATAAGTAAGTTCTTATGGAAATGAAGGAAAGGTTGTATTTGTAACTTTATAATAATAATCTAATTTCTAATCCTGCTCACATAATAGAGGCCCACCTAGACCTGTCTAACATATGTCAAGGAGTATTTTAGTCTTGTTTTAAGAAGATGTGAGGAAAGCTAAACATCCCTTTGTGTAAAAAAAAAAAAAAGGAAAAAAGAAATGACTTCTTTTTTTGGTCTATCAATACCTGATAGTAAGTGGAGAATTCAGTTAAGGCAAATACATGGAAACATCCAGTTCCCCAAAGTATTTTCACTGAAATATTTAGATGTAAAACTGGATCTATTTGAGTGAATTATTTGAATAACTGCCTCCATATTCTATTATACATATACATTTATTTTTCTATTATGCATGGAAACAGGGCCAAAAATTAATCAGTGCCATGAGTGAAATAAGCTACAGTATGGTTAATGCAATCTCCTATTCCTAGTTCACACTCTGAAGCTGGATGCAATAAATCTGTTTTGACTAAGGAATGCTCAGATCAATGGTTAAATAGTAATCAAGGAGCTATACCAACAGATTTGACC